GTGGGCAGCCCATTCCAGAGGGAAGGCGCTCCCACAGAGAAGGCTCTCCCCCTGGGGGTCGCTAGGGGACACTGTCTGGCCAACAGCACCCTGAGGAGGCGAACTCTGTGGGATCGCAGTGGACAGTGGGATGCTACTGATGGCAGTAGGTGGTCTCACAGGTATCCTGGGCCTAGGCCATGGAGTGCTTTAAAGGTCATAATTAATACCTTGAATCGCACCCAGAAGACAACTGGCAACCAGTGCAGGCCGCCTAAAAGGGGTGTAACATGTGAGCGAAGAGCATGCTCATATTGCTACTGAACCAGTAGCAAAGGTAAGTGGATTTCACCGCTGTGTAAACACGAAGCTTAAGGCTCATGGGACCCACATTATGTAAGACCAAAATCCCAGCAGCTTAGTTAAAACCTCAATATAGATAGTCAAGGATCATCATTCCCTCTTCCCCCTCGGAGCTCCCAGGTTCCCCTGACGTTAGCCCTGATTCCTATGCTCCTCCTCCTCTGTTTTGGCTTCTGTAAGGGCCGGTGGCCGACAGGTCACAACACAGACCTGGATGGATCTGCAACCCTGAGTATCCCAAAAAATTTCTAAAGGTTTTCTGTGTCTTAGACACCACTAGTTATTTTTTTTATACATATCGATTCAGGAGTTAGGTCCACTGAGTTTGGGCCTGTACTGTTAAATTAAATGGTTATTCTCTATTTTTAAAGAAGCTACGATGGATGCTTACCAGTTCAGGTATATCTTTCACATTCAGTGGGACCTGAATTAGTCCCAAGTGGTTTCTGAAATTAGGCACCTCGCTGGTGTCGTAATTTGGGTTGCGCAGGTTCATCAGCACCTTTAACAAGAAGACTAGAAGTGACTATGTGTGCGTAAGAACTAAATAGATTATTTTAAAATAGCTACCTTAACGGAATGGCACAATCGTCCCCACTTCTCCACGGGGCTCCCTCGTCTAACCTATCACCGGCGTTTACGCTAGGCGGGACCTTCAACGCACTCCTTCCCAGGCAATAGTCCGCTGGGACGCTTATCCCTGAATGTTTCACTGTACCAGATACTTAAACTCACCTCCCGGTGGCCGGGTGGGGTGGAAGCCTGGCACATCCCCCCTCTACCAGCAGTGGCGGGACCCTAGCCAGTGGTCACTCCCGCCACGACGACATTTGCAGCCAAATCCCAATCGAGGGGGGGGGCTCCACTTTACCGATATTCAATGCCCTGAATCCTGCTCAGGAGATGCTGCAACAGAGCCTTGCCAGCCTCGCGGGAAGAATGCATGCAGGCCGCCCCTCCCTTTCCCGGAGACCCCACGTGCGTCTCATTAGTTCCTGGAGAGGAAGGGCTTGCTAAAATAAAAATAAAAACAAAGACTGTGTGGTGGGAGAAGCTAAAATGGTTCTGTTTGGGAAAAATAAAATTGTTAAGTGCCCTTGGTGCTTAAACCCTACACCAGGGAGGGGAGGCCTGCACATGCTCTCCCCAGATTTGGTTCATGTCATATATTTTTCCCCCAACTGAGAATTGTAAAATCCACTGTCCCCTGAATCCAGGTTTCCTTGCACATTTAAGAAGGAAGGGCACCTAACATTGTTATTTTTCCCTAAACCGAACCATTTTATCTTCTCATGCCACAGTTTCTGGGGGTATTTTTAGCAAGCCCATCCTCTCCAGGGACTAATGTGATGCACACGGGGTCTCCTGGGAGACGAGGTACCACCTGCACAAGCTCTCCCCAAAGGGCCTCCAAGGGTCTGGTCATGGCTGGGACCAACGCTCTCCTTTGGCTCTTCACTTGGTCCCAACAAAACCTTTTTTATTTACACAACTGTGAATTCCTTTCATTCACAGTCAGCAAAGCTTGACAAACAGCCTTTCAGAGGAATGTTTATCAACACGAACCTTATCTCGCTCTGAGAGCTGCCAGATAATTAGTTTCCAAACGCAGGGCAAGTCAACACTTGGCTCTTATAGTCACAAACAGCACTTTCCACTCTTGAAACGACCGAAGGAACGAATTGTTCCCTGCAAAAGCCCCCTCCCCATTCGCTCCTCTTTTGTTCCCTACGGGAGGGGCCAATCACCTCCAAGGTGTCGACCCCGCTTTCTTAGTTGTTCTTGTTTCCTAGCAGCTCTGCGCAGGCGCACACTGGGAACAGGCTCCAGCTATTCCTCTGCTTCACTACTGTCTATCTCCCTCTCTGCTTCCAACGCAGAGTCCTGGTCTGGTTCTCAACCCCCAGGACTGGCCCATGTTCCTCTACAGCCTCTCCACTGTCCGACTCTGCTGCCACTTCCGCTGGCTGCCGGCGGGCCACAACACTGGCTCCTCCTGAGCAGGATGCGGGCAGGGGATGCTGGTGGGCCTGAAACTTCCCTTCACCTGGGACATGGCTACAAATGTAGCCTGGTCATGGCGGAAGTGACTGCTGGCCGGGCTACTGTTGCTGCCACCGCTGCTGGAGATGGCTGTGACAGTGCTCACCCCATCTTGACCCTGGGAGGTACATTTAAGTATCCAGCACATCAATAGCAATAGCAGTAGACTTATATACCGCTTCATAGGGCTTTCAGCCCTCTCT